AAGGGGGATGGAAAAGGCTTCCTGTAGAAGGTGGGATTAAAACTGGGATTTGAAGGAAACCAAGGAAGTTAGGAGGTAGAGATGAGGAGAAAGAACATCCCATGGGGGAACAAGCAGTGAGAATGCCCAGAGTCAGGAGATGGAGCATCTGGTATGAGGAACATCAAGGAAGCCAATTGCAGAGTAGGTGGTGGGGAGTAAGGGCTAAGAATATTGGAAAGGTGGGAAAGGGACAGGCTATGAAGGGTTTTAAAGTCAAGTAAAGAATTTTCAATTTGATCTTAGAGGCAAGAGAATATGGAAACTTGAGAGTTGATTGAATGGGGAAGAGACAACAAGGCCGGAGCTAGGCTTTAGTGATGATGGTGAAAATGAGTATTTATTTATATAGCACTTGAAGGTTTGCAAAGCACTTTACAGACTATTTCATTTGATCTTCACAATAAGTCTGTGAGATAAATGCTAACATTATCTTCATTTTACAGATGAAAAAACTGAGGTTTACCTATAAATTGATAATAGCCTCTCACAAGTACCCCACAAAAACTTCACAATAAGTTTTTGTGAAGATCAAATGAGAAAACATATCACAACACTTTGAAAACCTTGTTTTTGTTGTTATTAGTGGGCATAGCCTGAGTGAGGATTCAGCTAGGGATACTTGAAAGAAGCAGTCAGATAAGTAGGAGGATCAAGAGACTGTTGTATCCTGAAAACCTGGAGAGAAGAGAGTCAAGGAAGATTTAGTCAAATGCTACAGGGAGGTCAAGAAGGATGAAAATTGCCATAAGATTTAACCATTAAGAGATCATCAGTAACTTTGGAAAGAGTAGTTTCAGATGAATGATAAAGTCTGAAGCCAGACTATCAAGAGAAGAAGACTGAGAGGAAAAGAAGAGGCACCAATTATAGGTAGTCTTCTCAAGGGGTTTAGTCACAAAAGGGAAGAGAGATATGGGGTCATAGGCAGTAGGGATGGATAACTCAGATGTGGGGTTTTTGAGAAAGGGAAGAGACTAGGGTGTGTTTGCAGGCAATAGGGAAGCAGCCGGAAGACAGGGAGAGGTTGAGGACAAATGAGAGTGGGACTAACATAGGGTGTAATGTGCTGTAAAAGAAAGGATTTTCAGTAGTTCTATTTTGGCATTTAATTGGGATTCCTAAATTTGTTGACTTTTTGTTTTTGTTTTTGAGTTGCTTGACTAATTTCTTGACCTGCTTTCTCTATTTTCTTGATGAAAGTGCTTAAAGGTATAAATTTTCCCATAAGAACTGTTTTGGCTACATCCTTATAGGATTATACTCAGTTTTGTTGAGTAATTCCTGGCTGTAAGGCTATATTTTTTGGGTTATGAAATACTATATTCCAAACTCTAAACTCCTGACTAGTGGTGGTTGCTACATCTTGTGAGTTGCTAATTGAGTTCCCTTGGGACTTGAATTCTTTCTTCCTGGCTATTTACATTGTTTTTTTCTCTGACTTGGAAGCTTGGGATTTTGGCTACAATGTTGCTGGGAATTTTTATTTTGAGATTTCTTTCAGGAAGTGACTTCTTTCTATTTCTATTTTGCCCTCTGGTTCTAAAAGATGTGGGTAGTTTTCTTTTATGACTCCTTGAAATATGATATCTAATGTCTTTTGGGAGGGGTGGGAAGTTGGCTTTCAGGTAGTCTAATGATTCTTAAATTATCTCTCCCTGACCTTTTATTTTTTCCTAGGTCATCTTTTTTTCTTTTTAAATGAGGTTCATTGTAGTTTCTTCTACCTTTTTTTTAAGCCTTTTGACTTTGTTTTAATATTTCCTGTTGTCCTTAAACAGAAATAATTAACTTCTATTTGGTACCTTATAATTTTTATAGGAGTCTGTTACTTGGGCAAGGTTTTATGCCTCTTGCTCTAAGTTGTTAGTTCTCCTTCCAATTCTTTCTTCTGTAGCTCTCATTCTTTTCTGATTTTCTTCCCTAGTCTTCTCTTTTATTTTTCAATTATTTACACTAATATTCTTATTTAATTTGTAAAATAATGTTTTAGCTTTTGCTTTTTTTTTTAACTTTGCTTCATCTCTTCCAGGAACTCTCATTGAACTTGTGCCCAAGCTGTGTTATTTTTTGAAGCTTGGTTTGCAGATGTTTTGGAGTCATTCTCTTCTTTTGGGTTTATGTTGAGTGTCCCTGTCATCATAATAGCTTTTTTTATGGTAGGATTCTTTTTTTGTTTATTCATTCTTCCAGCCTTACTTCCTGACTTTAACTTTCATGAGAGGGTTAGGCTCTGCACACTTGTGAAGGTAATAGCTGAGCCATGTTTGGTCCTCTTGGGTCCTGCTTTGCTCCCAAAGTGGTCGATGCAGGGCTATCACTCTTTGGATTCAGATGGCACTCCTCCCCACCCCTCCATCCCTGGCAACTCTGGAGATTTCATCTATTTTAGTATTCACACCTCATTAGGAACCTCAGTTGCCTCTGATTGGAGGCTCGGACGGCAGAGCAAAAAACTCCTCCCAAAGTCTCCATTTAAAAGAGGGCTCAGAAGCCCAGCCAACTCATTTCCTGACAGTTGCCCTCTTTGGATTCCACCATCATCATGCACATCCACCTTCCTTTCGTGCCCATTGGATTGTAAGTTCCTTGAGGGTAAGGACTCTATTTTTCTTATTTGTATCCCCAGTGCTTAGCATAGAGTAGGTAAATGAAAGTTTATTGTATTTATTTCTGTATTTGTGAAGGCTGCTCCTTGCCCTCTTGGTTTGAGTTCTCCAAGTTCCTGATGTGGGTTTAGTTCTTAGCAGCCAACTGTGGACTTGCTCCATGTTCACACTCCAGTAAACTGCTACCGACTCAGCCAAGATCAGCCAGGCGGAAGGCTGTCCAGGTCCAGGGTGGCAGAAATGCAGGCTCCCTTTGGTCTGGGCTGTCTGCCCTGCTTATTCTGCTGCAGGCTCTAGACTTGGTTGTATCTGAAAACCTTGGTCTGCTCTGCTTCTGGGTCAACGCCCAGAGCTGTCCTTTGCTCAGTACACAGCTCCTCCCCAGGACCACTTCCCCCAGGTACAGTTCCCCTCATCTGTCCACTTGGTCGTCCATTGACACCTGTTCTCGCCTTTCAGTGTGGGTCCCTTGAAGCCTCACTCCTAGCCTCCTGTACCAGCCTGCTGGTTGTTCTCCCGGCTTCAGGTTTCCCCACTGCAGAGGATCTGCTGCTCTGACCATCTCAATCTCCCTGCACCCCTCCTCCCCCCCCCAGTAAATCCCTGTGGCTCCCTATTACCTCCAGGGTCAGCCTGGCTGCTTTCAGTCATTTTACACTCCACTCCCCTTTTACGTGCTCCTTCATCCTGAGACATCGGCCTTCTAGCTGGTCCTCGGACAAGACATTCCATATCCCCCTGTCGCTTCTCTCCAGTTTATCGTGCACAGACTCGCGGGCAGGGGCTGTTCCGGCCTTTCTGTACAAACCGGGGTGGCACACGGGAGGAGTTAGGGAGGTCACTCAGGCCCTGCGCTGACCCTGCCGCCAGACCATCCCGGCTGGAGCCCCAAGCCGGGTCTCGACGGAGGCTCGGCCGAGCCGCCTCCCGCTGCCGCACTCTCATCCTCTCCTTGCGCAAACACGGAGAGAGCCGGGCCAGCGCCGGCGCTTCGAGGTGGCAGGGCACCCCTCATCCCACCCTGGCTCTTCAGTGGTGCCCGTCTTAACTGGCTGATAATACGGAGCAACACCAAGCCTTCCTGGGCACTGCGGCACAGCTTCACGGGCCTCATTTCACGTGATCCTCACCATAGCCCTGGGAGGCAGGGCTGTTGGGATCGCCATTTGGGGGCTGGTGCTCTACCCCCAGCTACCGGCTGCAGTGGGCATACACCTACTGAGCTGCCCGACAGTGGTGAAACATCCCTGGCTCCCTCTTGCCTCACAGTCACAGCTCCTCTGCAGCCCGCCTCCTCCCTATCTCAGCTTCCTCCATGCGTTCTGCAGGCTGTTCCGCAAGACGCTCCATCTCCGGTTGCCCTGCCTTTGCCCAGGCAGTTCCCTCTGCCTGGAGTGCTCTCCCTTCTCACCTCCCAGCCAACAGCGAAAAGGATCCCGAAGCGGGCGGTGCCTAGAGGGCCGCGCAGGCCACTGATCGGGTTGGGGCCCGATGGGCAGGCGCTTCAGCCAATAGGAAATTAGACTTTGATGGCCACCCTACTTCTCCAGCGGGGAGGAGGGCTGGCTCCAAGACGTGATGAACAGAAGGCTCAGCCAATGGTCAGAGCCGTTCAGAGAGCGCGGCCCGGGAAGCCGACGCGGACGGCTAGAGGGAGGGTGGGCAGGCCGAGGGACGTCCTCGTGCGTGTGCGTGTGCGTGTGCGTGTGCGCGCGCGCGCGCGGTGGGGCGGGACCGAGGCGCGCGCCCCCGCCCGCCGCGCCCCCGCCCG